ATCCGATGCAGGTCCTTGCAAACCTCCAGAGGGCTCTCTCCTTCCACCCTGGTGTCCTGAGCATATGCAGGCTTCCCACTCTAAACTAAAAGTGCTTTGTTCTCCAGGGTAAAGGCAGGAACTGTTGCTGGGAACAGAGAACAGGAGAGGTGGCTCAGGAAAGGCAGGGAGTGCATTTAGGATTCCTTGAAGTCCACAACTTCTGGCCCTGAGCTACAATTAATCATCAATATGTGGAAAATCTTTCATTTCAGTGGATGACTGATTTTGTGAACAGCAATTTTTTCTGAGCCTCTTGTGTCAGATCTGTTTGCTGAGAATCTGCTCAGTGGTTACAGTACTCACCCAGTTTAGCTTCCCGGATGACAGATAATATGCACTGATGGCTTGGTGGGTATTGCTGAATTGCTCATCTCACCTTTCTTCCCTCCAGTAATGTCCCAATCCATTATTTTCAGAATCAAATTAATTCCCTACCCTGGGGGTAGAGTGATGTATCCCAGGTCACCAGCTACATCCTGGGTCCTCACCCCTCATACATGGGGCTTGCTCAGAGTTAGCAGACCATTGGGTACTTAAAAATATACAAGCTCCCATCAGTTTTACTATGGATTTAAAATTCCCTACAGGCAATGTACCCCTTTGTTGCCTATAATGGAACTCATTCACGGCCTTTTCCCTGATATTCTCCTTCAGGTAATAGGCTTGAACCTTAATACTATAAGGACTGTTCATCCAGGGCTTTCTCATCATTTGCAAAGTAAATAAATCCTACCCTCAAATTCCCCTATTGTGGTCCTATTTCAATTGTGTATGGAGGACGGTGGGAGGGAAAAGAGTAGAGAAGACAAGGAGATGTAAGAGAAAGCAGAGAAGCATATTTAAGAAAAAATAGAATGGAGCAAAGAAGAATCGTGGAGATCTAATAAGGCTTTATTTTTTAAAGTGGCATTTTATCTTAATTTTTATCATATATGCGTCCATATGTTTGTGAGATGCCACACAGTTCAACAATGCTTTTTACAAACTTTAGCCCTTTCTAGTCTCTTTCAACTTCCATTTTATGCCCTCAAAGCAATTATTTAATGCCTGTCTAGCTTTTTAATCTAGCATTCATCTCTGTGTTTCTGTTTGTTGATGTTTTCCCGTTTTAACGACTGATTTCCTCATGACCTGAAGACTGAATTCTCTCACACGCTGAGCCCCTTTTGGATATGCTTCCTCTTCCCCTCAATGCTGTTAAGTCAGATTTTTGTTAAACCAATATTCACGCTATCACTATTAATGCTAAACTATGAAAAATATTCTAATTGCATTTATTTTCTTGTACAACCTTTTTTTCTAATTCCTGAAGTCAATTGCTTTGATTTTTCACCTTTTGTTTCTGTTTACTTTTCTATGTTTACATTTAATTCATCCTCAAGTTCTATTCGAAGTAAAAAGTCCTTCCCACAGATTCAAGTGCATCAAGGAACATCCAAATTACCTTTGTTTTTCCTTTGATGATGTCTCCTCCTAGAGCCTTCTATGACCCTGATCCACAATGGTTTTTCTCTAGGCTAACTATACAACCAGTGTTCTGGAAGTGATGTGATGTTTTCTCCAGTATTATTCCTACATCTGCACTACATGCATTCAGTATGCTTGGTTTATTCTCCCATGTTTTTGGAACATATCCTGCAGAGGTTTCCTGAATATGGTTGCATGGGGAAGAGCCAATACAAAGTTTCATTGGTGTGTACAATCCTATGTTGAAAATAATTTTCCCTTTGAACTGTGAAGGCTGAGACTATAATTCGTTTTTGTTCAGCTTCCAGGGTTCCAATCAGCTTCTTAGTGTCTCTCATTGGAACCCAAACAGAGAACCTTTAAACATCTTTGGTATTTGAGGAAATGCCTTAATATGAAAGGCAAAGACAAAAACACATGGGAAAAGTCATTCAGAAGAGAAAGTCATTGCAAGAATCTGGAAATGTTAAGAACAGAGAACCTTTAAACATCTTTGGTATTTGAGGAAATGCCTTAATATGAAAGGCAAGACAAAAACACATGGGAAAAGTCATTCAGAAGAGAAAGTCATTGCAAGAATCTGGAAATGTTACACCCTAATGAATAAAAGCAATAGTGCCTCTTTCTTACATCTGGTGTCAAAAATTTCATAATAACGAGTGTTACTGTGACTCTTTGCCCATTCCTTGTATAGGTATCGTCTTGCTAAAGACTTTCCCTCAGAAACGCAGATCTTCTGCCCTAGGAAGAAAAGACATTTGTTGTTGTTTGGGTTTTCTTTTTTAATCTTTGTTTTGTTTTGTTTTTGCAGTATTAAAGATTCAACTCAGGCACTCACACGTGCTAGGCAAGCACTCTACCACTGACCTACATCCACATCCTTTTTAAAGAATTCCTCTCATAATTGCCTTTGCTCCATTTCTTTCCTATTTCTTGGATACTGGGTCTTCTGGACCAAACTACTAATTTTATGTATCTCTTGGTTTCCATGTATGAGCTTCCAGAAAGGTTGTTTTCAATTTATATAATCAAAGAAACGAAAAATGGATACTCAGCCGAGAGCAGCTGACACAGTTATAAACATCAGAATTCCTTATTTAGTCAATACCTGAGTCAGGTTTCAGGCTCAAAACTTACTGAGAGATGAGATCCTCAGGAGGAAGGATATTAAAAGGAACTCCCAGTTCTTCCCCGAGAGGACGCAGGACTGTTTAGTTAGGTAATTGCATGCTTTGAAGAAGGAATAACCAGACATCTTGAGAACTTGTTGATTTAGGTTCTGAATTGATAATGCTCCCTGGGTCCCTAAAACAAATCATGGCCTGCTCTGAGAGTTGGAGTCAGACAATAAAACGAGTTCTGGTTCAAGTCAGGCTCACAGGGAGTTCACTGTTCCATGGAGTCACCCAAAGGTCATCTCCCTAGCTCTCAAATGAGTACTGGACTGAACAGATGGTGGAGAGCAGAGCTTCTCATGTGATTCTGTAGTCTGGGTGTTAGAAGCTACTCTAATGAGAAAATCTCAGCATTTCCCCCAACACACATCAGAGTCAAGATATGATTATCACAAAAAATAAAAGTATCATATCTGGCCCCTGGCCTCTTTCCCTCTGGTTCTTCCCCTGATCTGTGATTCCCAAATTCCATGAATTGAGCAGTATTCCTCTATTGAGTCATTCCATCATGGTGTTTTTGCCTTGGAACCAGCTGATTATACACTGAAATATCTAAACCCATGAGCCAAACAAAATGAACTTCTCCTCCTTGAAGCTGTGGTTGCCAGGTATTGTGTCCCAATAATGAAAAGCTGTCCCATCATCACCCTAGTGCTTCACTGGGGTATTTCTTGGTACTTCCCTGATGAATTTTCACAGTAGATGAAAGCCACACACTGAGAAGAGTCTTGTGACCAAAGGTTAAAACTCTTCAAGGATGAGGTTCTAGAACCTTCATCAGTTAAACACTACCATAACTAGCAGAAATGCTGGAGTAAGGAATCAGGGCGGGTAGTAGGAAAGGGGAATCATGCATACCTAACTACCATCTCAAGATCAGATGCAATGTTAGAAACTTAGTTCACCTCCTAATCCTTCCTCTTACACTTTCTTCATGAAAATAATCCTGGAAGATCTTCATCCAGATGTACTTAACTCTCTATACAAAGCAAGTGGATTTAAATGATACAGAATGTGCATTGTATTGAAAATTGTAGAGTGTCACTTAGACCACTTCCTCTGGTACTGAAGTAATCATTCCCCAAGCTTCTAGGCTATTGCCTGTGACCTACAGATGGGACCTTCTGAAGGATTTTTCTTCAAAGTTAGCTGTTTCACCAAGGTTATCTGAGGGTTGTGTACACGTTTTATAAATACTATACTTTCTTTTGTTTTTCATATAAACAATAGTTTTGCTCTTATTTTTCTCTTATCCTGATCCTTGAATCATCTCTGAGTTTGGTTGTTTGTCTTTGGGTTATTGTTTTTGCATCTCATTGTTAAGTGTGTAGACTTTCACTATCTTTTTGGTGGCTAGGAGACTCCCTCTTCCTTAGAGGCCTCACTAAATTCAGAGTCCCTGTAAGTAAGTGTCTTCAGAGAATAGCACTCTGTTCTACATATAAAGGCTTTCTTCCAATCCTCTTGTTTCATCCTTCCCAGGATCTCCCTTGGAAACTGGTGGTTGTCTCCCATTCCAGAGCCTCTCTGAAACTGCCCCACATAAATCTGCACCTTTATTTTCCCAGACTGTACTTACATTCTAAGTCTCTATTATTTGGTTGATTACCATCCACTCATCCATCAGTTTACATCCAGATGTCCTCCAAAGGCCTCATGTGCTTGTAGGTAGGGCTTTTGGAAGGTGACTGGATTATGGGGCACCTACAGCCGAGTTGGTTTTAGGAGGTAGGGCCTGATTAGAAGAGGCTGGTCACTAGGGAGTGACCTCCCCGGCTCATCTCTTTTCTCTCTGTTTCCTGGCCACCATGTCACATCAGGAAGCATGGAAGGCAGACAGGCAGGGGCAGGGTACAAATATATTATTCACATTAATGCCCACAGAGACACACTTTGTCTAACAAGGTCTTACCTCCTGAAGTTTCTACCACCTTCCAGTAGCACAGTCAACTGGAAACCAAGCCTGACACACATGAACCATTGGGGAACCCTAAACCCCCAACCACAGCTGGGCTATTGTTAATATCCACCTGGAGGGTGCAAAATAATCCAACCACCTCGAGATGCTTAAATTAATCACACCTCATTTGGTCAAGTAAGTAATACATTCAAAGGCCTTGGGATTTAGGACATGGACATGTTTGGGGAAAGAGGTAGCACTAAAATCTACCATAGTAATTTGCTGATAATACTCATGATCTTTAGTTCCTGTCAAGATTTGATTAAAAAAAAAAAAAA